AATGATTTTTATTTAGGATTTTGTCAAAAAGTTAAGATGATTCTAAAACTTATTCAAAATTTTTTAGGATTTCACCGAAGAATCGACATAATCTTAAAATTTGTTTAATAAATTTTGGGAACTCACCAAAGAGTTGAGATGTTCCTAAATTCCTTTTTAAAAAAGTAAATAAAATATCTTATGACAAGATTTCGAGAATTTTATGAATGGTTAATTTTCTTGAAATATTTTTTAAATAGTGATTTTTTATAAATTCCACCAAAGTGTTAGAGAATTTATAGAATACAAAGTAATAATAATAATGTTAATTTCATAACAGAGAAAAATGTTTTAAAATAAAATTTAAGAAATTAAACTTAAATAAAAAAAGATTACATTTTCAAAATTATAGGATTGCGCATGTTTAAATGGTACCATTCTTCGAATTGGCGACGTGAGGGTGCTAATACATTTCTCACTCATAACCATACTCTCGGACCTAGCTCTAATTTTACAGACGTAAACTTCTTTTAGTAGGTCTTATTAATTTTAAAATTTTTATTAAAAGATGATATTTCGGATGGCCAATCACACCCTACAAAAAGATTGGTGGTGACTCTGAAATTTTTCACCAAGTCTAGCGATCGAGTCCTCCAAGACAAAAAATTGTTATGACAAACCCCTTAAATAATCCCGTTTAATTTTTTTTTTGGATTATTCAATGTGTTTTTGCCAGAAAATGCCTTGAATAATACCTTTCAATTTTTTTGAAATTATTCAAAGCATTTTCTCTAGAAAACATCTTGAATAATACCCTTCAATTCTTTTTTAAAGATTATTCAAGGTGTTTTCTTTTTCTCCAGAAAACACCTTGAATAATCCCTTTCAATTTTTTAGAGGGATTATTCAGGGCGTTTTAGCCAGATAATTCCTTTCTATTATGATTCCAGCCAAGCGAGCTCGAGTTCAGCTCAAGTTTTACCTCGAATTGAGCTCGAACTTGAAAAATAAAACTCGATTGAATTCAAGCCAAGTTTTGAACTTCGATTTTTGAGTCAAGCTTGAGCTCGAGCATCTCAGTGTACCGCTTGACTCGGCTCGTTTACACCTTTAATCGTGCATGCCACTCATGTCTTATTTGGGTAAAGATTTGGACAAAAATTTCAAATTTGAATTCAATTGGTCAAAATATTTTATTTCTAAAAAATTTATATTTTATTTAATTTTAATTTTAAAATATATTTTAATTATTAAAATATCAATATATATTTTTGATATTTTGATAACAAATTTAAATTAAACAAATTTAAATAAATAATTTGTATTAATTCAAAGCAAACTTTAAATGTATCAACAGGATTTCGCCATCTACATATATATTTGTGAAAAAAAAAAAGTTTTGGGGATATTTTTCATTTTTCCTGTTTTTTCTTTATCATTGTTACCTAAGTATGAACTTCAAAAGAAAAAAATTAAAATTTTTCTTTGAAGTTTTCAAAAAATTAAGAATATAAAAAAATATGGTAACCTTCCCTTTAATAAAAAGGAAAAATAATCCAAACAAATGAATGAAATTGAAAATAACAAAAAAGGGGAGATTCAATTTAGAGAAGCGAGTGGATGAAAATTAGCCCAGCATAGTTTTCAATTATCTTTCAATATAACAAGGACCTACCAGTAGAGAGCGACCAATTAACACAAATTTTCCTTGAAAGAAAGTTTCTAATGCCCTACTTTGATCCTTAATTTGTCTCCAAAGCTTAATACAAAGAAAATGACTATATAGTTTTCATTCATAATTAGATTTGTTCACATGTTGCGTGGCCCGTCGTGCACGCCACTCATGTCTTATTTGGGTAAAGATTTGGACAAAATTTTAAATTTGAATTGGTCAAAATATTCTATTTTTAAAAAATTTATATTTTATTTAATTTTAATTTTAAAATATATTTTAATTATTAAATACTAATATATTTTGTTGTTATTTTGATAACAAATTTAAATTAAATGAATTTAAATAAATAATTCATATTAATTCGAAGCAAACTTTTAATGTATCAACAGGATTTCGTCATCTATATATATTTATTTGTGAAAAAATAAGGTTTTGGGGATATTTTCATTTTTCCTTTTGTTTCTTTATCATTGTTACCTGAGTATGAACTTCAAAGAAAAAAAAACTAAAATTTTTCTTTGAATGTTTCAAAAAATTAAGAATATAAAAAAATATGGTAACTTTCCATGTTAAAAAAAGAAAAAAAATAATCCAAACAAATTATAGACACCAAATTTTATCTAGTCTATTAAAGATTTAAATCTCATTTTTAATTTTTGTTTATTAATATTAAAATTATTAATAATTATAACAAAAAAATAATAGAAAAAAGTATTAATAATAAAATAATAATATTGGTCTAATACAGTAAAAAAAAGGATGGGACAAGAATAGGCATGGTGCCGTGTAGGGGTGTAATCGAGCTGAGTCGAGTTGATACAGTGAGAAGCTCGAGCTCGAGCTCGACACACAACTCGGGGCTCAATACTCGGCTCGAACTCGATCGAGTTTTATTTTTCAAGCTCGAGCTCGATTCGTGATCGAATTCGAGCTACTCGAGCTACTCGAGCTCGCTCGATTAAGCTCGATTAATATGTAAAAATAAGCTCGATCTTATACTCGACAAAAGTTTGATTATTTATGCTCGAACTTGAACTCGAACTCGAACTCGGACTCAAAATATTTTATTAATTAAAATAATAAAAATATATTTAAATATAAAAGCTCGATTAGGCTCGCGGATATAAGAATACTCGAATTCGGCTCGATCGATAAGTCGAGCTACTCGAGCTCGAGCTCGACTCGATAATAATTGAACCGAATTTGAGTTTTTTTCGAATCGAACCCGAGTAGCTTGCGAGTACTAATGTATCATTTACACTCCTAGTGCCGTGCATGGCACCAGCGTATCCACCTACTTCTGCCACTACTATTTACAGCACCATGCCCCTATGAAACCTATGGAACCCATACTGAGCCACTGTACCTCACTTGCCCCAATTGCCCAGAGCCACCAACCTTACCTTGCCAGCACCCATACTGAGCCAGGTGTTTACTCCACCCACGTCCCAAACACCCAGCCCTTTAAAACACACAACTTCACATTTTGAAAAGCTTGAATGCCCTAGAAACCCCAACACTCGAACTCCCAAAAACCCTAGCTCTCCCATGCTCGAAAATCCTTTTTGCTTCCATGCCCTATACATTCATAGCCCCAAAACACTCAGAAGCATACCCAAGCTCCCATGCCCAAACGACCCAGCTCTTCACATGCTCTAACCCCCAAAGTCTGAACTTTCACACACCTCACAAAACCCTTCACCAAGCACCCTTAACCTTAGCCAAGCCCTAGACGGCCCAAACCTTGTACCTAAAGACCCCCAGTACCTATCAAAAAGCAAAAAAAAGAAAAAGCCAAACAATCACAAACAACCATCCCAATTACAATGGGCAGATGTATTCTACATGTCTAATACTATTTGGTTATTTGTTAAATTATATATTATTACTATATTATATGTTCGAAACTTCCACTGTAATACAATTAGAATTCAAGGGGAATAAGGCATATGTTCTTTATGTTTTGCTAAAATGCATGTGTAAAATATGAGAGAATTTTAAGCTAATTTCGACAATTTATGTATGTTTATACATGTATATATATATATATATATAGTGTCAGTAAACATATCAAATTATCAATAAAATTTGAAGTCAAACAATTAGTGAAAGTCAAGCAATGTAGTGGTTAGCAATAGTGACGAATTTAAAATTTTTTCAAAAATATTTATTTATAATATATATAAAATTAGTAACAGAATTATTAATTTTATCATAAAAAAAATTTTGTTCATATTTTTTTTATTTTTAATTTTTGAATATCCTACTTCAAAAAGTGGATCCACCCCTAAGCTACTCAAGTTCAATTCGATTAAAACTCAAATTTGATTCAATAATTGTCGAACTAAGCTCAAGCTCTAGCAGCTCGATTTATCAAATGAGTTGAGTTCAACATCTTAGTACCCAGCTCGAATAGCTTGTGAGCCTAATTGAGCTTTTTCTATTATATATTTTTATGGTAATTATTCAAGGCATTTTTACCAAAAAAAGCCTTGAATAATTCCCTTAAAATTTTTTTGACAAAAATGCCTTGAATAATTTCATTTATTTTTTTTGGAGATTATTCAAGGTGTTTTTATCGGAGAAAGCCTTAAATAATCCATTTCAATTTTTTTGGGGATTATTCAAGGTGCTTTTTCTAGAAAATACATTGAATAATCCCGTTCAAAATTTTTTTTTGGATTATTCAAGGTATTTTTGCTAGGGATTATTCAAGGTATTTTTAGTAGAAAATATCTTGAATAATCTCTTTCAACTTTTTTGGTAATTATTCAAGGCTTTTTTGCTAGAAAATGCCTTAAATAATCCTATTCAATTTTTTGAAGATTATTCAAGGTATTTTTAATAGAAAACGCTTGAATAATCCCCTATAATTTTTTTTTGAGATTATTTAAGGCGTTTTCACCAAAAAAAAAATGCCTTGAATAATCTTGTTCAAATTTTTTTGAGATTATTCAAGGCATTTTTACTAGGGATTATTCAAGTCATTTTTACTAGAAAATGCCTTGAATAATCTCTTTTAATTTTTTTTATGATTATTCAAGGCTTTTTTGCTAGGGATTATTAAATGAACACCTTGAATAATCCCATTCAATTTTTTTTTTGGATTATTTAAGGCATTTTTGCTAGCGATTATTAAATGCATTTTTACCAGAAAACACCTTGAATAATTCACTTCAATTTATTTTGGGATTATAAATGCCTTGAATAATCTCATTCAAATTTTTTTAGATTACTTAAGGCATTTTTGCTAGGGATTATTCAAGGCGTTTTTGCCAGAAAATGCCTTGAATAATCTCATTCAATTTTTTTTGGCAATTATTCAAGAAGTTTTTGCCAAAATATACCTTAAATAATCTTGTTCAATTATTTTTAGGATTATTCAAGGTGTTTTTACCAAAAAATACCATGAATAATCCCTTTTAATTTTTTTGGGATTATTTAAAGTGTTTTGCCAAATAATGCATTGAATCATATCTTTCAATTTCTTTTAGGATTATTTAAGAAAATGCCTTGAATAATACCCTTCAATTTTTTTGGGAATTATTCAAGATGTTTTCTCTAGAAAATGCCTTGAATAATCCATTTCAATTTTTTTAGGAGATTATTTAAGACTTTTTTTTCCAGATAATCCCTTTATATTATGATTCGAGTCGAGCGAGCTTGAGTTCAGCTTAAGGTTTACCTCAAATTGAGCTCAAATTTAAAAAATAAAACTCAATCGAATTCGAGTCGAGTTTCGAATTTTGATTTTTAAGTCAAGCTTGAGCTCGAGCATCTCAATGTACCAGCTCGGTTTGACTCAATTACACCTCTAGTTGTGCATGTCACTCATGTCTTATTTGGGTAAAGATTTGGACAAGATTTTCAAATTTGAATTCAGTTTGTCAAAATATTTTATTTCTAAAAAATTTATATTTTATTTAATTTTAATTATTAAAATATTAATAATTTTTTTGATATTTTGATAACAAATTTAAATTAAACGAATTTAAATAAATAATTCATATTAATTCAAAGCAAACTTTTAATGTATCAATAGGATTTCACCACCTATATATTTATATTTGTGAAAAAAATAAAGTTTTGGGGATATTTTTCATTTTTCATGTTTTTTCTTTATCATTGTTACCTGAGTATGAACTTCAAAAGAAACAAAATTTAAATTTTTATTTGAATTTTTCAAAAAATTAAGAATATAAAAAAATCTGGTAACTTTCCATGTCAAAAAAAGAAAAAATAATCCAAACAAATGAATGAAATTGAAAATAACAAAAAGGGGGAGATTCAATTTAGAGAAACAAGTGGATGAAATTTAGCCCAGCGTAGTTTTCAATTATCTTTCAATATAACAAGGACCTACCAGTAGAGAGCAACCAATTAACACAAATTTTCCTTGAAAGAAAGTTTCTAATGCCCTACTTTGATCCTTAATTTGTCTCCAAAGCTTAATACCAAGAAAATAACTAAATAGTTTTCATTCATAATTAGATTTGTTCACATGTTGCGTGGCCTATCAAGCATGCCACTCATGTCTTATTTGGGTAAAGATTTGGATAAAATTTTCAAATTTAAATTCAGTTGGTCAAAATATTTTATTTCTAAAAAATTTATATTTTATTTAATTTTAATTATTAAAATACTAATATATTTTTTTGTTATGTTGATAACAAATTTAAATTAAACAAATTTAAACAAATAATTCGTATTAATTCAAAGCAAACTTTTAATGTATCAACTGGATTTCATCATCTATATATATTTGTGAAAAAAAGTTTTGGGGATATTTTTCATTTTTCCTCTTTTTTTTTTTTTATCATTGTTACCTGAGTATGAACTTCAAAAGAAAAAAAATTAAAATTTTTCTTTGAATTTTTCAAAAAGTTAAAAATATAAAAACATATGCTAACTTTCCATGTCAAAAAAAGAAAAAATAATTCAAACAAATTGTAGACACTAAATTTTGTCCAAGTTTATCAAAGCTTTAAATCTCGTTTTTAATTTTTTTATTAATATTAAAATTATCAATAATTATTATAGAAAAAATAAAAATAGAAAAAAGTATTAATAATAAAAATAATAATATTGGTTTAATAAAGAAAAAAAAAAGGATGAGACAAAGATAGGCATAGTGCCGTGCAGGACACCAACCTATTCAACTGCCCTTGCCACCGCCATTTCCAATACCATGCCCCCATGAAACCCATGGAACCCATGCTAAACCCTTGCATCTCACCTACCCTAATTACCCAGAGCCATCGACCTTACCCTGCTAGCACCCATACTGAGCCAAGCATCTATTCCACCCACTTCCTAGACACCCAGCCCTTTAAAGCACCTAGCCCCACTGTTGGACCAAGCTCGGACGCCCAGAAAACCTAACACTCCCATGCCCAGAAACTTCTTCTACTTCCTTGTTCTGTGCACTAATAACCTTGAAACACTCAGAAGCATACCCAAGCTCCCACTCCTAAATGATCTAGCTCTTCACATGCCCTAACACCCAAAGTCCCAACCTTTACACAACTAACGAGACCTTTCATAGGCACCCTCGACCCTAGTCGAGCCCTAGATGATACAGACCTTTTACCTAAAGATCCCCAGCACCTATCAAAAAGCAAAAAATAAAAAAAAAGCCAAATAATCATAAACAGTCCTCCTCGTAGGGAAGAACCATCAGCGCCAAGCCCCTACAAAAAAGCAAAAAATATTTATATATATATATAAGTTTTAATTTATAAAGAAAAAAAAAAAACCAAAGTTTTAAACCTCGATCTACACTAATTGGGGTTGTTTCTAGTGAAAGGAATATTGGATCTAGAAAGAGGACATTGAAAAAAAATTTTGAGATTTTTTTGCATTTTTCGGTCATCGACGACCATCAACAACGACTGACGATGATGACCTCAGGCAGCAACTAGCTTGATAGCATGATGCCGAATTTTGGCAAGGCAGAAAGGTTTTTGGAGTTGGAATGTTTTTTTTTTTTCTAAAGAAAGGATAAAATATACTAAAAAAAGTTTACTTTTATATAAAAAAAAAAACAAAGAAGCAAAATGACGCTATTTAAAGGGGGAGGATTAATGCATGCGTGTGACCCAACCCGAGATCTGTGCAAATCAACCCGCTAACTCACCTTTTTCAATAGCCTTGAACCAGTTCAATCAGATTGGATCGAATCACCAAACTGACCGAACCGACGTTGACCAGATCGATCAAGTAAAATTTTTTTTTTTAATTTTTATATATTATTTGTATCATTTTTAGTTTTATTATTGTTATTTATGCATATTTAAAAACTTTTAAAATTTATTAGAATAACTATTTGTTGTTTTATAATAATTAATAATCATAATTAAATAATAACAACAATAATAAAAAAATTGATTTCAAAACTTTGATTTTTTTTAAATAATAATAACC